GTCGAGCTGTTTGTTCTGCTGACGCTACCTCGATGGGGATCTGATCATCTTTGAGGCGAGCGTACTGCTCAATCCTGGCACGCAAATTTTTCAATGCTGTGGCCGGGTGTTTGGTAAGTGATTGTCTCAACTTACTTTTCGGGCGCAGACCATGTTTAAAAGACATAACAACCGTATGTTCACTGCACACGTTTTCCTCCAGGTCGCTGTACTCTTCCCAATACCTCCTAGCATAACTGCGCAGCGTTTCTTCCTGCTCCTTTCGGAGGCCGAATAGTGTATCCGGCTCTTTCGGGATCTTAGTGTTGGAGACAAACCTGGCTAAGAACTCTTTAGAGAGCTACTTCCAGCCATGGATTGATCTAGCGGGGAGTCGATTGAACCATCAAAGTCTGGTCTCTCCCAAGTTGGATGGGAAAACTTTGCACATCAGTGCTTCATCTCGGCTCCATAGGGACATCATTTGTCTGTAATGACTAATATGTGTTAGTGGGTCCGACTTCCCATCGTACGAAGTGAACTTTGGCGGGGTGAATTTCTTTGGAGGTCTCATGGCCTTAATTTCTGGGGAGAATGGTAAAGAGACGAGCCTATCCAGCGCTCGGTGCTCTCTTTGGTGAATGGTGCGGTCCAAATGATCCCGATGTTGCTCATTCTGCCTGTTACCGATCAACCACGTACGAAGGTCTTGAGGAGGGTGTTTAGTCTGCTGGCTAACCATCTTCTGCCTCTTAGCCCTTCTCCGGCGTGACCCACGGGTGTGGCTGCTCCCCGTTTCACTCTATACCGGGATTGGCTGGCTTTGCTGCCCATACTCATTTCTGGGGAACTTCTTCACTGGTGGCTCTCTTAATAAGCTCCTTCGTCGTAAATGAGAGGGCTCTATTTCAGTCTTCTTCTCCACTGGATCACCCATCACCCTTTTGAGTTGCACTTTCAGCTCCTGTATCTCCATCCCCACGGAGTCTACAATTCGATCTCTGAAATCATTTTTCAGAAGAAAGTGATGAGAGGAACCTCCAGCAAAGGGCAATCGATGCTCAATGGATTCGGGAGTCCGGTTATTGTTTCCAGTTTGTTCTTCTAGGACTGTTGGGAGTGCCAAGCCTTTTTCCTTTGTCTTCTCCGTCAGTGGAGTATGTGTCAAAGGTTGGACGTCCTCAATCCCCATCACTGGAACTGAATGCAGAGCTCAGAGACAAAGTGTTCCACATTCACCGCACCAATTGTACGTACCGGATTCTGCACTAGATGAAAGTGGATCGGGGCTCCGCACTCAGCTGGACTATCCAAGGATTGAGGTTCCTGCCACAAGAAACACAGTAAGAGCTGCCCGGCCGGGGTTGGCCGGATAACCCTTTCGGTGTGGGAATCAGTGATCAGAGAAGAGGTGTAGAGAGTTTCGTTTATAGTAAGTGGGGTTCAGCTTAGATCAGTTACCTTCAATGTAAAGTCCATGTAGTATATATAGAGTTCCTTGCTTGTTTCTCAAGATGGTTTCATGGAGCTTTGGTGCTGCTAGGTTTCTTTTTTACAATGGCCCTCTGTGGGGGACCATCTGGTTGTTGTCAAGAGGTGGTTATACTCATTGTAGTCATGCTGATAACAAACCACATTCCTCTGGTTTTAACTGTTTTCGTAATTCTAGGGGGAGGGGACCAGCTGAGGTGACATCCTCCATGTGCATGCATTCATAGCTTCCACGTTTCTCTAAGGGATTTCCTCTGCTCGGTACCGTTGCGCCTCGGCTCAGTACCGATGTGCTTCGGCTCGGCCTTTTACAAGATCGTTTATAGAGGTGGGTTGGTCCATTTGGATATCTTTGTATGGGCTCGGCCCACTTTAGTTCGGCCCATAGATTGGGTCTTGCAACTCGGCCCAGCCCAGCATCGTGACTGGACTAGCCTTTCCACTGCAGGTTGGGCCCAAGTGCTTGAGGACTTGGGTAGACTGTTGATCATGGAGCTGGGCTCGATTGGCTTGCCTATATATTCATCTAACCGACTTGGACTTGGGCTTTAGTGGATTGGGCCGGCCCAAGGCTTGGATCCGACCCATTTCATATTTAGCCCCTTCAAGCCCTTTGCTTTACCATGTTGTGTATTTTGCTACCACGGCTCGGCCCACTTTAGTTCGGCTCATAGATTGGGTCTTGCAGCTCGACTTAGCCTAGCATCGCGGTTGGACTAGCCTTTCCACTGCAGGTTGGGCCCAAGTGCTTGAGGACTTGGGTAGACTGTTGATCATGGAGCTGGGCTCGATTGGCTTGCCCATATATTCATCTAACCCACTTGGACTTGGGCTTTAGTGGATTGGGCCGGCTCAAGGCTTGGATCTGACCCATTTCACATTTAGCCCCTTCAAGCCCTTTGCTTTACCATGTTGTGTGTTTTGCTACCACGGCAAACTAAATCAACACGTGTCATATACTTGTGCCAACCCAATGTTTACAATTGACTAGTTCAAATATCAAATGAAAATTAAAAAAATTGGGCACTTCTTTTATTGTTTCATATTGTAGAGTATGGGTGGAGAGGTATCTTCACAAGGTGATATGTATATGTTACTATTGGAAATGTTCACAGGGAAAAGACCAACTAATAACGTGTTTACGGGCAATGTAAACCTCCATAGCTACATAAAATTGTGTCTTCCAAAGCAAGTAATACAGATCGTTGATCCCCATATCATATTGGAAACAAAAGAGGAGCCAAATGGGAGGCAAAGTAGTATGGCCAACATTTCTAAGCTAGAAACTTGCCTCATACAAGTCCTTCAAATTGGAGTTGCATGTTCTGTTGAACTACCAAGTGAGAGAATGAATGCTAAAGATGTTCTTATGGAACTACACAAGATTAGAAATGTATTTCTGCAGGGTTAAGGGGGGCAAGGGCATCATGATGGAACTAGGAATGATGCTTAACTATTAAGCCCCACATGTGTAGCTTAATTACTTTGCTGTTGTAGAAATCTCCCTCCCCCTTTTGTTTTCTGAATTTGTAATTGGAAATATGTGAAATGGGTTTAGTGTGGTATTGTCACCAACATTTCTCCATCTCATTTATATTTTTGTTTTCTACCCTCACATAGTTCTATTATTAACCCAAAAGAAAAATGGGTATTGTAAGAGCTAAAAGGGCATACACATATAAAAATAAAAATAAAAATAAAAATAAAAAATAAAAAAGAGAGAGAAGAAGAAAAAAAGTTTATTTCACTCTCACCAGAAATTATTTCCAAGCAGTTCTGGCCTAATGATGTCATGGTAATAGTAACACAACTAAAACTAAGTCCAATGCAGTGTCCTATTATGAGGAAAACAAAAATTGACAAATACAAAGACCAAGATTACTCATGGCATGCCACTTTGGCTTAATTCATCCCTACAACAAGATCTGACATTGATAAAAATTCATAAATTCATAAAAATTGAAACTAAACCAATAGATCACTCAGACATATCCGTCACACGGGATTAGGATTTATTTGGAGTCCTAGCTCAATGTAAACATAATTGTATATTTATTTTTAATGATATATTAAATATAGTTTCATTAATTTATTTTATTTCTCTATTTGTGTTCGGTGTTTGTGCAAACAAAAAAGAGGAAATAGCAATTCAGTGGGTATTTTAAAAATTAATTACAAATTAGCAATAATATATATAAATATTAGTAATTAAACTTATAAAAAAATTCATGAATTGTAATAATTTTGTCAAACCACCACCGTGTGGTAATTTTCCCAACAAAAAAATGGAGATACAAACTAATTCATCAATTTTTTTTAACCAATTACTTACATGTGTTTAGAATCTACAAGTAAAAAAATTGGTAAATTAATTTGTAACAATAACAAAACTATTATACAAAATAACATATTTGATTGATAATTTTTTTTTAATAATATGATTTTTTGTTTTTTATTAATCATATAACATCATTTCAAAAACAAAAGGATTAAAGTAGACCTATTGAAGTGAAATTTTGATAAAAATACTGGTGTTAAAAAAGCAAGATTAGGTACTTTGATGCTAATTGATACTAACGCCAAATTTGAAGAAGTTACATGCATATCTCAATAAGTAGATTTATTGTCCAATAAGTACTCTGAGAATTATGACATTTTTAATCAAGCACTATTAAAAAAGTCACTAATTGTTAATTTTCATCTGCAGTTTGAAAATTTTCATAAAAAATTTCACTAATTATAAATTTTAGAAGCAATTCAAAAAAGCGTCACAAAAAAAAAAAGAAAGTTTCTAATTTTCAACTTTCAGTTACAGCTTGAAAATTGTTATAAAACAAAGTCACTAATTGTAAATTTTTGTAACAGTTTATAAAAACCGTGACAAAAAAAGTCACTAATTATCAAGTTTAGTGACATTTATAAAAAATCGTTACAAAAAATTATTTTTAGCGACGATTTTAATAGATTTTATTTTTGATCCGTTGGAAATTAAATGATAAATTACAAATACACCCCTTGAGATTTGATTAAATACGAATCGTCCCCTATGGTTTTGAAAATTACATTCCACCCCTTGAGATTTCTAATTTCATAACAAATCGCACATTTTATTAATAAATCATCAAGTCAAATAACAGTTTTTAATGATGTTAAAAATATGTTTTAATTAATAATTTAGATAATTTTATTATTGTTTGGGAGAGTAATTATGAATTTTATTTTTTTAATTAGTTCTGTTAAATAAAAAAAATTATAATAAGGGGATATTTGTAATTTTTCAAATTATACGAAACAATCTATATTTTAAACAAATCTCAAGAAGTGTATTTATAATTTACTCGAAATTAAATCAACTGTTAGAACCTAGATAGTTTACCCCCCAAATTTCATCGACAACGAGGTAAAATATGATAATGTGTAATAATTTAGGTGTATTTTTATAAATACGTAGAAGTAGTAATTGAGGGTTTATGTTTCATAAATTCTTGGATTGAGTTTATTGGTGGATTTTTTTTTTTTTTTTTTTTTTTGGCCTTTATCCCTTGTTTCTTCCTCAATTAGGCGGTTCTCTCTCTCTCTCTCTACAGTGCTCCGTTCTCTCACATCGAAAGGTATAAATCTTTACCTGTCGATATGTATATATATGTAATTGTAATTTATATCTGAGCTCTAAAAGTGAACTTTCATATGTTGATTTTCACGTAAAAAGCTATATAAGTTCCCGGAATCTTGGAGATAATCATTGTCAGTCGAAAATCCAATATGTAAACAAGCACACATGTATATGTATGTATACACGCATGTGTGTATTTTCTTGTAGATTTGTAAGTTATATATGTATATATGTATGTATGTGAGACCCTATATTTGATTTTTGTGGTTTGAAGGCATGCTTTTTGGTTTGCGGATTGATTTAGTTTATAATTTGATCTGTTATGTTCAGGTAGGGGTGTATATGCAATATAATTTTGTTATTCTAGTAATAAATGTTTTAAAATACCCCCAAATTGACATATCTTAACCATGATTAAGATTTACATTTTTTAGCCCTAGTTTCTGCACTTGGGTACACTATTTCAATCTCTTGAAACAATTGATGTTGTAGTTGTTTACTAATATGCGTAGGAAAAATATTTATACTGCTAATCACATTTGACAAAGGATTGCTTAGAAAAGAAATAAAAAATTACAGCAGTTGAGCTGTCAATTTGGGAAAATATGTAAACATCACATATATGGGTTGAAAATCATGAATGAAACCTTGGTCATGGATGAGGGAACCAAAAGTGAGGATGAAACCAGTTAATGGTATTGTGTTTTTCTTATGAATATATAAAGAATGAGTAGAATAAGATATTAAGGAATTAGTCTTCTCTCTGTCCTCCTCCAATGCGCAGGCAATCGAACTTACGGAATTCAATCTCTCAAGCAGAGTATTCCCTTTCTTTGGTTCTTGCACCATTTGTGATCATCTACTTTCTTCCAGTGAGAAATTATAAAAAAAAAAAAAAAAAATCCTAAGATTTGGCTCTTGTAACAAAATGCACTGGGTTTTTAATTCTATCAATTCAAACCCTAAACTTTTGATTTGTTTTCAATGTAAATCATTTGTCTTTTTTCGTTAAGTAAAATTGATCCCAAATTTTTTTTTTTAATCATTAAACTCAACGAAAAATGATATTTTAGACATTTTATATACATCTACATTGAGTTTAATGTCTAAAATATCCTTTTTCGGTTGGTTTTACTTACTGAAAATTGACTGATAGTTTAGATTGAAAACAAATTAAAAGATTAGTATTTACATGGACAAAATTAAAAACTTAGGTTTTTATTTTGTTACAAAAGTCAAACTCTGGATTTCTTTTTGTAGTTTCCCCATCTTTCTTTCTTCTTTTCTTTTCTATGAGTTGATGATAGAAATCATTAGATATCCCCACTTCAACTTGCTGTTTTTTACAATTTGGGGTTAATGATGTATCGGTGTGTGATCATGTATTATAATAAAGGACGATTTGTTAAGCAAATTTAGGCCACGAAGAATTTCAATTGGAATTGAATGTGTAATCTGCTGATTTATTGTTCTTTTGTTTCCTTTTGCACATCATCCTATGATTGATGAACAAGGGGACAATAGTATTCAATGCTTATGCAATAATTCAATATTAATTTCGCTTCAATATGGTCGCTTTTGAGCATGGACCATAGTTTTTGATGTGAAGCTTCTGCAAACTGCGTCAAGCTGACTGAGGAAAATGATTTCCGGTTTAATCAATGCCAATCCCATTGTCTATGAAAAAAAGGAGCGTCAAACTAGAACTGCACCGGATGATGTCAACGAGTATGTTGTGGAGCCCATTGACCAACTAGAAATTTTTTGTATCATTTGAGTTTGATTATTCCATTTGATGCTCTGTCATGTCCACTGTGTTTTGTCAGTTATATATCTCACAAATTGTAGAGGTTTCTTTGCAAAGCTTGGTGTTGAAATTAAAATTCACTTGTATGTAAGTGTATTAGAATTTAGAAAGGAATATGTTGTTTAGACATGTTGATCAAATAGGACTACATGGGTTGAAGTTCCTATTCAGCAAAGTTTTGCTGCTTGTCCATATATCTTGCCCCAAGAGGCATAACAAAGGGAGCAGAAGCAATTGTAAGGAAGCACGTGCCGCTATGTGGGTCAAAACTTTTATGAGTATGTATAACTTCTGTACCAACTTTTGAATATTAATGACATGTTATAGAAATTATCTTGAAATGCATCTTAAATTTAATATAAAATTTAATAAATGTGTGGTGACTATCTCCACCAAGGATCCTCTAGAGTGAAATTTCCCTAAAGTTTCCTAGAATGCTATATTTTGTGGTTGAGATTTACTGGCAAGTCACATCAATTTTTCTGATGTGACTTGCCAGTAAATCTCAACCACACAATGTAGCACTCTAGGAAACTTTAGGGAAAAATCACTCTAGAGGATCCTTGCTCGACTATCTCAGCGCAACTAAAATAAACAGTTTAAATTATTAAAATTTAACTTGTGGTGAATCTCACGAGTCTCTCAAACTATCTTAGATTTAAATTTTCGAATTTAAAAGAAATCGAACCCAAATTGAATAATGAGATAGCATAAAATGAGTTAAATCAATGCCCAAAAATTGAAATTTGGGTTTTTCAGCCACCTCATTGGAGTCGGGGGGAAAGATATGGGGGGATGTATCACCATCTTTTACGTTATTTCTTATAATTTCTTACCAAGTCACATGATACAAACAGAGTGTTTAAGTTTGTGTTAGGTGTCACTTAGATGATTCTCTAAGTTTTAATTTTGTCAAATTTATTCTTAAAATTTTTAATTTGAATTAATTCGGTTCAATTTTAAACGGAAATCATTAACAAAATGATATTGAAATGGGAACTCGAGTTTCTTTCAAATTCAAATGTGAACTTGAGATAACTTGAGGAGCCCGTGAAGCCCATCGAAGACTCCATTTCTATGATATGAACTTTCATTTTGCAGGATCCTTAGTGTATATTATCCATAGTAAAAATTAAGTTGATTTGATAATCATCATAATATTTTAATTTATTGTGTTTGTCTTTAAAAATATGAACAGCAAGTATGCTCTTTAAAATAAACTATCCGTTTTTTTGGAAATAAACTCAATCAAATAAAAAGATTGCAATTATCAAAATAATTTAATTTTTTCATAGATGATATGAATAAATTGATATATAAAATAAACAGTTTAAATTATTAAAATATAACCTGTGGTGAATCTCACGAGTCTCTCAAACTATCTTAGATTTAAATTTTCTAATTTAAACGAAACCGAACCCAAATTGAACAATGAGCTAGCATAAAATGAGTCAAATCAATGCACAAAAATTGCTGTGTGTCTCTCACATTCATATTTTAATTGGCATTAATTAACACGTCAATGTGCTCACTCATATTATGCTGCAAAATTCTGAATGTTTTTATAAGCTTTATGCTGTGTTTGGTTTGAGAAATTTGGGAAGGGATTTAGAAATGAAAAGAAAAAAGGTATGTACAATATAGGTATGTTTTATTCATATTTAACCTACCTTTTCCCTTTCTCTTTCTAAATTTCTTCACAAATCTCCCAACCAAACACAACATTAATGTTTAAAATTAAACTAACATAAGTCTATGCAGTGTTGGGATCTATTACTTTATATTAATATTTTAATTAATAAATAATATAAGATATATTAATTAATAATCAGTGTATATAGTATTATTTCAAGAGAAATCACAATATGTTTATTAACTTATGTGTCCACACTGGATTAATTTAATAGTCCTATCACTCATGGAAACAAAATGTAGTCATATTTGTGAATAAATTTCCCAAATTAACATCTGGTTTAGAATCAACAATCTACCAATTAATAAGAAAAGTTATTTCATGTCACATCTAGTAATACTACAAATTGATCTGGACATCCACTCCAATAAATTTCACATAGGCCCATATAAAGGGTACAAGGCTGGCTACGCTTGGGTGTGGGATGAGGAGAATCAGGAATTTGTGGACTGTTGAGCTTAGAGAGCTAACCTTCCGTTGCTACTAGCTGCAGAGGCAAAGGCATGTTTTGTGATTTTTGTTATTATATTTTATGATATTTTGGCTTATTTTGAGAAATAGATTAAAAATTGATTTTTTTAGGTTTTTTTTTTTTTTTTAATGTACAAAAAAATAGAGAAGTGATGTAATCTAAAAAAGTCAAAAAACTAAAAAAATTAACATTTAATCAACTTCTCAAAATAGGCCTTTATTGTTATCTTTTTTGAGTTTCTATGTATTTCGAAAGTTAATAGGTCAATGGTGGATGCAACACATAAACTTCACAAGGTCTGTAATGAATCTATGTTAATATATCTTTTTATTTTCTGCTTGCTCAAAAAAATAATAATAAATGATCTATTTACCCTATCAATATTTTATTTTCTGCTTGCTCAAAAAAATAATAATAAATGATCTATTTACCCTATCAATAACCCCGTGAGATTTTGCATATACAATTATAACACTAATGAAGTTGGTTGTGGAGTGGTAAAGATGGAGAAATGATATGAAAATAAAATAAAAATTCAAAAGGAATTTTTGAGTTGAAACTTGAGAGAACAAGATAATTGAATAAAACTCTTTGCCATTGGGTGAGAGCTAAATATTTTGTAAGCTTTATCTCATGTAAGGACGTTGTGTCTGATTTTATACATTTTAATTTTTTTTAGTTTTGGTTACTTTTTAAGATTGTCATTGCCTAGAAGTTATTTGGTGGTCTTGAACATGGCCAGATAAAGCATTGTAATTGATTGAAATGGTAAGATCTATGGTTTTGTACAGTAAATGAACTTGATAATTGATGATTTATTAATAGTAGAACAGTAATGCTACAGACCCCCAGCTGGGGTGACCCCCAGTGACCCCCAGTGCCACGTGTCGGCCTGGGGGTGGGGTTGGATGTGATGTTTTGTTTGTTATGGCTAAAATAGCCTATTTTGTTTTTTGTGGCTAAAATAGCCAAAAAAGCCTGCAAACCCACTTGCCAAACACAGGCTGAAATGGTGAGATCTATGGTTTTGTACAGTAAATGAACTTGATAATTGATGATTTATTAATAATAGAAACACATAGTGCTCTTGAGAGATTTGTTGGAAAATAATGATTTTATAGTGATTTAATGTAAAATTAAAGTGGGTCCCAACTATTGGTTGAGGTGAGATCAAATGAGATTAGATTCTTTATAACAAAATCGTTACATCATAAAAAGAATAACAAAAAATAATTGAGAATTGAATGAGAAATTGCCTCATAAAATTGATTTCATGAATGAGGTATTGGGAATGGTGTATAATCACCTATCCCACATTAATTGTAGAGGAAAACATTGATGGGTATAAAGCCGAGTAGGAAATAAGGCTTAAGCCCGGTTACACAAAAATGGTTTCTTGAACCCATATAATTATAGCCCTTGGCTTACAAAAAATACAGTCACAACAAGACGAGAACCTTGTGCTCTCAACACACATTTCCACGCCCTTAGTTAGACGGAATCACTGCATCTTTTCCTGCACAAAATCCCGTAGGGTGAGCATAAAGCCGAGTAGGAAATTCTTAACAAAGTATATACATTTTATACAAGTCTCACGAAATGAAATTCACATGCCATGCTATACTTTTTGAAAGAAAATCACATCTCTATCTTTTGAAAACCAGTTGAAATTTCAGCAATTCAAAAGTTATCAATTTAGTTCAAGGGGCGGTAAACATGACTCAGGTAATCCCTAGATTGGTGTCTGCAAGTAGGCATAATTAGCACTACCAAAACTCTACTTTATCGGTAACTAACCGGAAGGCACGTGGTACCTCATCTGCGCGTGTTTTTTATCTTTTACCCTAGACACTCAGGCCAACTTAATCAATTTCATCTACACCACCTATCCGGACTTACCAACGTATTTACCCCAAAGCAATTCCATGAAAACTTATTTCACAACATTCTTTTCTCAATACAAAAGTTTTAAAATCTAGTATTCAAAATTTATTATAACAAAATGAATTGAAATGACAATGCAACAATTATCAATGCAATGCAACATCTCTTCCATTTTCAATTCTTCCACACAACTTTTCCATTGTGATCACAATTCCCATTCCTCTTTCCAATGCAAATCTCACAAGATAATTATATATCCGTTTATATCCATCAAAAGAATGACACATTTCCACATTTCAAGCATTTTCAACAATTTAGTCTCTTCATGACTATATTCACATTTTTGAGCAATAAGTCTCAAAACCAACTAGTTTTCATATTTCATAAAATTTCCCATTTATATCCACAACAAAATAAAATTTCCAACCATTCATTCATTTTAACATAATAATAGGTAAACAACCATAAACCTTCAACATCCCTCTCAAAAATCTCAACTTTCGAGGTTTTTGCCAAAACTAGACATTTCTTCACCTTTTGAAAGATTCCATCTCTAAAACATCTTTCCTCAACAGTATAGTTCAAACTCTCAAGAAATTTTAAGCAAACACAAGGTGTAAACCCACTTTTAAGATCACCAATACTCTTGAGCCAAAATCAAATTTCAAAGTTCATCCAAAAGAGTTAAAAAAATCAACAAACCTTGCAAAAATATATATATAACTCTAAGAAAATCCCTACCTCAAGTTTTGAAGAAGAAAAGAGATGAAACCCCCTAAATCAACAATGTTAAAACTTGATCTCCACCGCACAAAACGTAACCCTCGAGAAGTTCTCCAACTTTGATGAAGGGGCTATGGGTAAAAATCTAATGGATTTAAAGAAACCAAGGTTTTGATCTTGTTTGGTGTAGGTAAATGTAAAGAGAAGGAAAAGAAATGGTTTTTTAGACAGAGAGAGGTATACAAAAAGTGATATACACGCAGTTCAAGAAGAGAGAAAAAGGCAGATTTTCGGACTTAGACCCGTCTCGTATGTGCGGCACCCATTCCCGCACATGCGGCAACCCCCTCTGCACGTGTGGCTCTCACCCCGCATGTGACACTGTTCCTCTGCACTTCCCTCCGCACCTGCATATATTGTAGTGTTGCACCCTGGACCACCCTTGCTTTCTGCACATGCGTCCTTACCACCCGAACGTGCAGCCCCCCTTCCGCACGTACGGCCTAAGCCCCCGCACGTACGGCTCTGTCCTCCAGTAAGGAAATTTTTCGAATCAACTCAAGACACTCCAGACCTAACCTCGCACCTTCCGAAACAAGTGAAACTCGGGATTGAAATAAATAAGAACGATAGATTTTTGGGAGGAAGTTTTCAAAAACAACGAACCCAATAGTTAACAAGACCACACATTAAAACCCGATATTCTAACGAAAGTAAATTCAACATAACTCAAGAGGACAAGGCAAACAACGTACCCGGTCACCACAAAACCAAACCAACACAGCAAAAAAATAAATAAAAATCATTATTGGAGGAAAATTCGTGCCTCAAATTTCGAGGCCTTTAGCATGGTCATTTAATTTTTAAGCTTTTTTAAGAGGTGAAAAAAGATGTGTTTAAGAATTATTTTTTTTACAGTAGTTCTACATGTACTAATTAGTATACTGACTAATATAACAACATATGTTATGATATTATTATTGACCACATTCATTATACAAATTACAAATACTAAAAATTTCTTAAATTATGTCATATTATCAATTAGTATACTAGTTAGTACGCTAATTGATGCATATAACATTATTCATTTTTTTTAGTTGAATAAATAGTTGTAAGAAAAAAATTAATTAATTGATATATACGATATGACCCTTTGCTAACGGGGTTGAATTTTTAGCTTTTTGGCAATGATCCCTTAATAACACAATAAAGTACGGGAAAAGAGAAGAAAAAAAATTACATTGATAGTCCGTACATTCTAACCTTTGTATTATTTTGGTCCTTATCATTTTAATTAACTTAATTTTGATCATTAATCTTAAATTTTGTGTCCCTTTGGTCTATCAATTAGGAATTTTGAAAGAAAACGGATACTAAATTTGTTCAGGTTAACTCACTAAATTGAACAATTTATAATTTTTCTATTCTAAGATGACATGCGATACTTATGTGTGCATTTTTCATTAAAAAATTAAAATTAAAATTAATTGAATCAAATTGAAACAAAATTATAAATTTTATATTAAAATCGAGCCAATCAAAATTTAAAACAAAACAACCCCCCCAACCCAAAAAAAAAGAAAAAAAAAATCCCTAGCTCTATAAATACATATATTTGCCCCCCCAAACCCCAAAAAAAAGAAAGTCCCTAGCTGTCCCCCCCTTCCCCCGCGCAACCCAAAAAAACAAAAAAAAAAAAGTCCCTAGCTCTATAAATACATATATTTGGCTCTCCATTAACGTATTCAAGTTTATCAGCTCCATTTCTCATCATAATAATATTCTATTTTTAACACCAAATGGAGCGAACAAATTCAACTTTTCACAGTTGTCTACTTAGTGCATCTGTAGTTTGTTTCATTTTCCTTTTCATGAACTCTCTTGAACTGATTACCACTGCCAACGAGACAGACCATTAGGCACTGCTTGCAATCAAGGATTTGATACAAGATCTCTGGGTGCCTTGAGCTCATGGAATCATTCAATTCAGTTTTGCAATTGGCAAGGAGTCTCATGCGCTCGTCGACATCAACGTGTGACACTCCTAAACCTGTCATCTCTCGCATTGGTGGGCTCTGTATCTCCTCAAATTGGGAACCTCACCTTCCTTAGGAGGATTGATCTAGGTAACAACAGCTTTCATGGCGAAATCCCGCAAGAACTTGGCAAGTTGTTTTGTCTGCAGTACCTTCTGCTTTTGAATAAATCTTTCCAAGGTGAATTTCCTACCAATTTGACTCATTGTTCACACTTGAGAGTTATCCATGTGCTTTATAACAATCTAAGAGGTAAAATTCCTATCGAGCTGGGTTTTTTGTCCAATCTCTGAAAATTGAATCTTGCAATCAATCATTTTACTGGAACTATCCCACTTTCAATTGGGAACCTTTCCAATCTACGTGTGCTTTGCCTAGGGTACAATAATCTAGAGGGAAGCATTCCCACCCAACTTAGGCAACTTTCCAAGTTGGAGTTTCTTCAGTTGTCGGCAAACAATTTGTCTGGTATGGTTCCTAATTCGCTTTACAACATCTCATCAATCTATTTATTCTCCATCACTTTCAACCAATTGCATGGAATTCTACCACCAGATTTAGGCTTGACACTTCAAAATTTGCTAGGATTTTATGTTGAATCCAATCAATTCTATGGCCAAATTCCATCATCAATAGCCAATGCTACAAGACTTGTGTACATTAATTTTGGCAGCAATTCGTTTACTGGGCCCATGCCTATGAATCTGGGAACCCTTGATGCTTTAGTCTGTGTAGGTGCTTCTGACAATTCACTTGGAACAAACCAAGCCAATGAATTAATGAGCTTCCTCACTTCTTTATCCAATTGTTCCAATCTACAAGTTCTGGATTTGGCAATGAATCATTTTAAAGGTTTTTTGCCCCATTCTATTGCAAATCTCTCCACCAAGATCACTTGGTTCAATATACAAGACAACTATATATCTGGAAACATACCTTTTGGTATTGGGAACCTTGTAGATTTGCAATATCTCCTTCTAAGTGGTAACATGCTTACAGGTAGTATTCCAAATTCCATTGGAAAACTCTCCATGTTGGAAATCCTCATGCTTGACAAAAATAATCTCTGGAGAGATTCCAGTGTTTATTAGAAACCTGTGTAGGCTTGGTAGTCTTTACCTATCAACAAATATGATTGAAGGAAGCTTTCCTATTTCTTTAGGCAATTGTACCAATCTACAACAATTTTATATTGATTACAATCATCTCACAGGAGCAGTACCTCATCAAATCTTTGGTCTACCTTCCCTCTTTAATCTAGCCTTCAGTCAAAATTACTTAACAGGACTACTATCACAAGAAGTAGGTAACTTGAAAAATCTGGGTGGACTATATGTATCAAAAAACAAACTATTTGGAGAAATCCCTGCTACTCTCGGCAATTGTGAAGTTTTAGAATTCCTCGACATCGACGGTAACCTTTTCGAGGGCACAATTCTGACATCCTTCAGACAATTGAAAGGTATTCAAGAACTAGATGTTTCTAGGAACAACTTGTTTGGACAGATTCCAAGGTTTCTCAGGGAGTTTCGATTCTTTCAACATCTCAATCTTTCCTACAATATGTTTGATGGTGAAGTTCCGAATGGAGGAGCTTTCACAAACATTAGTGCCTTCACAGTTGTTGGAAATAGTAAGCTATGCGGAGGAATTAAACTATTGTAATTGCCTGCATGCCCAATGTGAGTCTTAAATGAAAGGAAACAACCTTTCAACCATAGAGTAATAGTTCTAATAGTTACTCTCACTATTGTTCTATTATCATTGTGCATTTTAGCTATTATTTATAGAAACAAAAGATCAAGACAGCAAGTCAAATTAGCCTCGCCTTTGCAAAACCAATATTTACAACTATCTTTTGGAGAACTTTTTCAAGCAACAAATGGGTTCTCTCCATCGAACTTAGTTGGTGATGGAGGATATGGTTCTCTTTATAAAGGGATTCTCAACTCTGATGAACAAATCATTGCTATGAAGGTGCTTAAACTACATGAACGTGGAGCGAACAAGAGTTTTCTTACAGAATGTGAAGCATTGAAGACCATTGTCCATCGAAATGTTGTCAAGATAGTTATAGCTTGCTCAAGCATTGATTTTAAAGGCAACGACTTCAAGGCTTTGGTCTTCGAGTTCATGGAAAATGGGAGCTTCGAAAATTGGTTACACCCAAGTCATTTAGAGCAACATGAACCTAACCTAAGAACTTGAACTTTATTCAAAGGTTGAACATTGCCATTGATGTGGCATGTGCGTCGGATTATCTTCACCATCATTGTGAAATGGCTTTTATTCATTGTGATTTAAAGCCAAGTAATATTCTTCTTGACGATAATTTGTGTGCCCATGTTAGTGATTTAGGCTTGGTAAAGATTTTTCAGCAACCAATGGAATTTCTATTCATCAGCAATCAAGTTCATTTGGGATTAGAGGAACAATTGGTTATGTTGCCCCAGGTAATTTTTTAGTGATTCTTATGTTGAAATTGATTAAGAAATATTATGTAGTTACATTATATTATTATCTTGCAGTGAACTAAAAATTAATTACGAGATTATATAGAAATTAAGCCATGTTTTGGAGATGATTTTCCTTGACTTTGCCTTATTGTTTGTATAGCTACCACAACAAATTAAATCAACCATTGTCCTACCCCTATGGTATTTGAACATAGATTTTAACCCTTAAGATAATTTTATGTTCTGAAATGTTGAGCTTTTTTTTTCAACAAAAGAAATACAACTTATTAGTTCAACAATCATACCAAAAGTAAAAATTTTGGGCATTTTTTTTTTAACTATTTCATATTGCAGAGTATGGTATGGGTGTGGAGGTATCAATGCAAGGTGATATGTATAGTTATGGAGTGTTACTACTAGAAATGTTCACAGGAAAAAGACCAACTAATAACATGTTTATAGGCAATGTAAACCTCCATAGCTACGTACAAATGTGTCTTCCAGGGCAAGTAATGCAGATCGTTGATCCCCAAATCATATTGGAAATGGAAGAGGAGCCAAGTAGGAGCATGCAAAGTAGTACAACCAACATTTCTAAACTAGAGGCTTGCCTAGTACCAGTCTTTCAAATTGCAGTTTCATGTTCTACTGAAATGCCTAGTGAAAGAATGAGTGTGAGAGATGTTCTCAAAGAATTACACAAGATAAGAAATGTATTTATTGGGGTTAGGGGGCAAAGGCATTAGTATAGAAGAAGAAATGATTCTTAACTAAAGCCGCATCTGTAGGTTATTTTGATGTTCTAGAATTTTCTTTCCCTCACTTTTCTTCTCCCCCCTCTTTTATTTTCTGAATCTGCATTTGTTGAGCTAGAATCGGCATGAAAGTGGTTGTACTTGTGGCATTGTCATCAAATATTTATAACTAGTTAAGGTTTCTATATGTTTGTTTCATGTTCTACTGAAATGCCTAGTGAAAGAATGAGTGTGAGAGATGTTCTCAAAGAATTACACAAGATAAGAAATGTATTTATTGGGGTTAGGGGGCAAAGGCATTAGTATAGAAGAAGAAATGATTCTTAACTAAAGCCGCATCTGTAGGTTATTTTGATGTTCTAGAATTTTCTTTCCCTCACTTTTCTTCTCCCCCGTCTTTTATTTTCTGAATCTGTATTTGTTAAGCTAGAATCGGCATGAAAGTGGTTGTACTTGTGGCATTGCCATAAAATATTTATAACTAGTTAAGGTTTCTATATGTTTATATGTATGCCTTCTCTATCTAGTTTTGTCATAGTTTTGTTTTTTGGGTTATGTTCTTTAGTAGTTCTATTGTACATTAGGGAGCTTGGCTCAAAAAAAAAAAAAAACTGATGCCATAGAAGCTAAAAGAGAAAAACAAAAACAAAAAAAGATTTAGCTCATAATATGATGGATTATGAAGTTATCATACCAATATCACTCATATAAATTATTGAGCAACGGGAAAAATGTTTCATTTATGTTGATTTCACTCTCATCATATATTAATCTAAAACTTATTCCGATGGTGTAATGGTATCAGTGACATCTTGGTTAGATGCAAAACTAAAACTTAATCAATGTATATAGCTAATGGGAAATATGAATAATCTTTATTATGAGGAAAACAAAGATTTACTAGTAGAAAGTGTTAAAAAAATAAAAAACACAATGCCAGCAACAATCTTCTAGTCTATAACCTACCTATTAAAGCAGGAAAATCTGCCTCTAACATCAGTGTGTCTAACCCAAGTGAAATGGAAAATTCACCCTTGTTGAAGATTGCTGAGCAAGATCTCCGTCAGTTGGGTCTTCTCCAGCAGGCTGTTCATCACCTCTTCCCGCGTGTGTTGCTGCAGCTTTCCACTCAGGCTTCTTCCACAAGTTCTGCTATTTTAAGAGGTGTAAACTGTTGCCTTGCTACAAACTACTCTGAGTTTGGTCCGAGAAACAAAAGAGGCATGGCATTCCTCAACTTCCATATTCCAGTAGCTGTGAATTCCATTTCTTACTTCCATTGTCCTATGTTTGCTTCATTGAAAATTGTTTCAGATGTCTGCTTATGAGCTGGGTTAGTGCCGACATTGAATTGAATTTATTTTTTGTTCAAATTAATGTTCATGCATTTGTGCTTTGGTTTGAAGTTCTTATTAATATCTGTAAATGAATCCCTTATTCCTACTTGAGCCTCAACATTTTAAGCTTCAGTTGAAATTGTTGTTTTTAAATAAGTACTTAAGAACAACAAAGTCAATAGTTGATGTCGAAGCACCATTAAGAATAATAGGAAGACAATAGTTTTTTAACAAAAGAAGAGAAGGCAGTAGTTCATTTAAATTCAATTATCTGCCTTTGTTCAAGTGAGCATTCAGTAAAACAAAATAGTAATTTGCACAAGCTATTGAAAATTCCTTGTTTTGGTTTTGTTGGTTGCTTGGAGTTTGTTTGAATATAATTTGAATTAGTTTTCTTTGTGTTTTAATAAAATTTGAATTACCAAAACGAATTTTAAAAATTGAATGTTTGTAACTTTGTAAATGCATCGTGTTGTGTTTAGTCTTGTGTGGATGCAACATAACTTGACTTTAGACGAGTTCAATTTCAAAGTGTTATTTTAGAGTTGGTTTTGTGCCAATTCAAATGGCTAACAATTTTTTTCTTTTGTTTCTCAATTTACCTTTTTCGTATTGCTAATGATATGAAACATAGTTCAATTTACCTTTTAAGCATAGTTTTAGTTGGATTTTCTCTGTGAATGAAAAGATTAGAGAAGCCATCGTTCCTCAAGTAATCTTTTCAAAGATTTTAATTCTGGTGAGAGGTGAATTTCAAATCTTTTAATCTTAGTTGCTTTCCTCATGCATGCAATATCTAATTGTCATGATATTAGGTGACATTTGTGAGGTAGTTTGGATGTTTTGCAATCTTACTTGGACTGCTTTTATAGGATCTGTAGTGAAATAGTAAATATTAGCAATTCAGAACTCTTTCAGCGCCAACAGTAAATAGTCCTTTCAAAAGATTTTTAGTAGAACAACAAAGCTAACCCTGAAGTCAGTTTAGGATCTAAATCTGCCCAGATATGGAGAACTCTTAGTAAAATAAAACTTCTTTTGTTTTATAGCCGCGTAGTTGATACCAAAGGTATGAATATTGCAATTTCCATTTTTTGTTTTTCAAGAATATTTTCAAACTCATCCATTTTATTTTATTTTTTTCATTTCAAACTCTTCCATTTTCATCATTAGAAACACAAATTCTTGTATTGCAGGTTTGCGTAATTATAGTGAATTCTCCAGGGCACTGAATCAAGAAAGGCAACATAAATGTCAATAAGGCCATATTTGTTGACTGTAATCATAGCTAGAATACTATATTTGGAGCATATTGAGTTACTTGGGTTTAAGCTCGATTAGGAGCTTTTTTTCAATGCCAACTTCTAGAGTTCTTTTGATTTTTCAAGTTGATCCCAAACTTGACTCATTAAGCACCAAGAAACCATCCTTCTACATGAACCAAGCGACTTAAGCTTGGGATTGGTTTCCACTCAATCAAAAGCCAAGCTTGATATTTTTTAGCAACATAAAAGAAAATGTCATTTTCACATCATCTACTCCACCCAATCCATTTACCTTTAATTGATTAATTTCTTACCTTTTTTTTTTTCTTCTCAGGTCTTGGGAACATTATTCATTGTAGAGAAAGGAGGTTAGCCCTGATTGAAACCCTGTTGTGAGCTTGGGATGACAGATTCCTTAACACTACTTTTCATTAATGAATTTCAACCCTGCCCCTGTTTTCTTGTAAAAAAGAGGAAGACGATAAAGTTGAAAGAGGATATATTTTTTGTTTTGTTTTTTGTTTTAGTGAACTGCCTATAAAGCCAACCCAGGGCTCCCATCTGTGCTCTGGAAAGCTTCCGGTTTGGCGGTGAACATGTATACGCTGTATGCTCACAGTTTGGAACTCATTTTCTACGTACTCTTGCAGGTGGCTCCTAAATTTCGTTCAATTCAGGGAAAAGCCTTTTGATTTCTCTTACCCCTCTCTGGTATGTACCTCATTTTTTTCTCTAAATTTAGTATCATTATCTTAATTTCTTAATCCATTTTTGCATCAATAAATGGAATATCGGTTACACTATGTTTGGATTGAGTGACTTGGAGAGAAAAGAAAAGAAATTGAGAGAAATGTATTTCTCTTACTTGTTTGGATAACCTAAGTCGAGAGAAATGGGAAGAAATAGAGAGAAATGGAGAGAAACTCATTTCTCTTATAAGCCTCATTTTCAATCTTCCCAAAAGTGGAGAGATTGGGAGAGAAAAGAAACCATTATTTTCATAATACCAATTTTGCCCCTATAAAAATAAAAGAAATAAAATGATTGAAAATATAAAAAGGTTATTTTGGTAATATAACATAAAATAATTTCTTTTCTTTTCTCTTAATGAAATCTAACCAAACAAGAATGAGAGAAATCACAATCATTTCTTTTCTTTTATTTCTTCCTTATCCAAACAAAAAGGAGAGAAATCACAATCATTTCTTTTCTTTTCTTTTCTTTTCTCTTATAACTTAACTAATCTTTTCTTTTCTTTTCTCTCCTAAGTTCCCAAACATAGTGTTAGTGTTTAAATTTTTTTGTTTCCTCTCCAGCTGAAATGCAACAATTACTTTCTCTAGTTAGGTTTTGGAGAGAGTGATTCTCAAGTTCGTTGACTCAATTGATGGAAGCATGCCAGCTATTCGCTAAAATTCCTATAAGAGTGCTCCTTATGTTTTTTTTTTTCTTTCTCCTCAATTTGTTTACCTCAATTGTTTGGTATTAGATACAAAAACTAGAAAACCAAATTTGGGAGCCGAATCATGTGAAGTATGGTATCGAGAGAAGATATTCAGATCTCAGTTTGTATTCTTATGTCTCTGCAGATATATGTGCATAGCAAAATCATGATAATTGATGACTGTATATCCTTGATAGGATCAGCTAATATAAATGACAGGAGTTTACTTGGATCAAGAGATTCTGAGGTACCAACTTAAACTTTTGGATCCTTCTGCATTAATGTTTTCTATTCTTTGGCCAGCAGTTTTAAATTGTAGAACCGGATACAGTATGATTTATCTCATAGTTGATTGCATAATGGAACTCATTTATTTTTCATTACCCTTTCTTTCAGAAACTTTAAACATGAGCTCTGTATTGAAGGTGGGGCAAAGAATTTCTGTGCGAATTTATAGGCTTTTTTGGGAAAAAAATGATGCTTGGTTCTTAATATATAGTCTGCAAGTTTAAAAATTTTGCATCCGTGGATTCTCTTTGTTCCTTTTTTAAAAAAAAAAAATAATAATTGTGAAGTGAGCCATTGACTCTTTGCATAATGATTGGAGAGGGAATCAGAAGAGTGGTGGAATCATCTGATCTACAAATTATAAGATTAGATAGATTTTTGTGATAAATTTCTTATTTTTGAGTTCTTTTGGTGCGTTTGCATTATATGAGTATTACCTTTTTTTGGTTCAAGCGAGAACAACTTTCGCAGATGGATTGATAAGTCACAATTTTTCAATAATACAAGTTGTTGAACAAATCAAATTTTTTTACCCCTTTAAAATGTACAAATTAATAACTAAAGTAGTAGATACAACTCTTTACTTTCAAATTGCTGTTCTTAACACACAGAATTTTGTTGTTATTGCTGACTTCTTGAATTGTTTCTCCATTTAGTCACAACCAATCATATTACTGGCAACTCCAACTTCTTCTTGACAAACTACACATCTATCATGATATGCCCTTCCATTTTAATGTACAAATTTCCTCCACTTTTTTGTAGTAGTTTTTCTTAGTTGTTAACAAAAATGCTGTTGATTCGGATTGGTGTACTTATCGAAGACAAAGAATTTGTTGATTCATGTATGGGAGGAAAGCCTTGGAAGGCAGGAAAATTTTCTTCGAGTCTTCGCCTTACGCTATGGTCTGAACACCTTTGTCTTCCAGCTGGAGAGGTTTGTACATCTACCAAAACAAATTTTTTTTTCTTTCTTGTCATAGTGACTATTGCCAAGCCCCTGTTAACGAGCTGCACCTGGATACTGTATCATGACAGAATTGATTGGAAAGATCCCTCCATTTTTCATTTTCTTTTTTTAATTGACAGCTCATTAGGCTGTCATTAGGCATAATCCAAATTTCATTAGCCATTTAACAACCAACAAGAAAAAATATAAACTAAGAAAATCACTTGTGAGACTTTGTTTAACATAATAAAATATTGTTATTTGTGTGGTGAATAATTTCCTCTCTTTTTTTCTGTTGTTAATTGTTTGATAAATTGTCTTTTTCTTAGGTTCTAAAGCTTGCTTGTTCCATCCCATGTGCTTAGTGAATAACTTGAATGATGATGACCTTCATCTGTTAGTATTGAAAGCTTGTGAAAATCAAGTCCATTGGTGCAAGTGCATGATATAAGTCTTCATGAACCATTTCCGTCCAACAATGAAAATGGAGTAACGATCAAAACATGACAGGCAGTGGTTTTTCCATAAAGATTGCTTTTCAGAATGTGTGGAAGGAAAATGTCTCAAATCCCATAATAATAGTTCAATATGATTACTATTAGCTGGTTCCAATCAAAACCAGGTATATGATCCACACCTAAGTTTTCTCTTTAAGTGATAAGTTGAGAAATAAAATCAATAACTTTAGAATGAATTTTTTTAGTTTAACTTTTGTCTCTTTTTTTGTTTGTTTGACAGTCATTCATCAAAAGGTCATACCTACTTTAGATAAAATGAATGAATGAACCAGCTATTGGACCTTCTGGTTAAACCCATCCGTTGAGGTCTGTTATGGTAAAGATTGAGAAAAATAAAGAAATATGAAAAATAGAATCAATACGATAAGATGGAAAATGTGAATTTCAAGCGATGGTGAATTTGGAGTGGTGCCGGGCTCCGGCTCGAAAGAAACAAACAATGGATTAAGCAACTTACACGAAACTTGAGTTCTCAATAAGGGGCGGTGTTTTTGTATGTCAATTAACATACAAAATTCACCAAGTTAGACTATATTTTTGTTTGTTGGGTATTTTTATTCACTTTATGTTTTGCAATTATTGTTTTCCAGTCTTATGAAGAACCATGGTGTCCATTGATAACCCAACTCATTAGTCTTTGTGCTTTCAATCATCCCCAGATGTTGTCAAAATAATCTTTTTCATTGCTTGATTTTCAATAGATCTATAGATCTGTTTCCTAATTTAACTATGTCTACTTGGAATTGTATGCTAAATTAGTGGCATTTCTGTTTGCCTCTATTAGTAATATTTTTTTTAACCATTAGTAATATGTCATATAGAAATTTGGACTACATGAACCCCATTACTAATAATCCTACAAATTTGTTGGATTAATTATCCATTGGATTAATAATCCTAAACTAAAATGTTAAAACAAACATAGGATAATTGGTCCCACGGATTATTAATCCTAATCCCATGTCCTAATCCACCCAATCAAACATGCCAGTGGTTTAGGTTTTAGCTGCATGTCCACAAGCACATGCTAATAAAAAGAGGTGGTTGCAACATCCATTTGACTCAAGAAATCATGGCCATAAATATGCCCATTACTCACAAGAGCTGCTTATAGGAGATTTGAAGAATTCTTCCATACTAATTTACTAGCTTACTGAATGAGTATACCTTTCTAATTTGCAAATCTTCTTGATACAGGGAATTAATGACCAGTGGAGCATAACCATACGTGTAACCTTTGACAAAGTATTGGCTGGATGCAAGAAGGGAAAAAAACTACTTAACTAATCCAAAAAGTATTTTCGTTTTTCTAGGACAACAAGAGACTGATTTGTTTTATGGTTCCCAATTTCGTAAATGTAAAATGTGATTATAATTATTCAATAGAAAAGAAGAAATAGTGTGTATTTTGTGTTGGGGATTTTTTTGAAAAAAAAACATTTCAATTTTGTTTTCTTGTTATTTATGCCAACAACAATGCAACCCCCATGCACGTAGCGTGTGGGAGTCCAACTAATATAATAAAAAAATCCCAAACTGCAAGTTGGTATAACAATAGCAACACAACGAAAACATATGATGCAACTACATAAGGAAATAGAAAATTCTGCGTCCACCAAGTAATCTTCAATCTGCTGCACCACCAAAGGACTCCCTCTGTCGATTGAGAGGGAAATGAGGGGTCTCTTCTCCGTCTCTCTCTTTGTTTTGCGTTGTTTTTGTTTCTTCGAATTTAATCAAAACAACATGATTTTGATTTCTCTTAATTTCTACCATTGGATTGAACTATAGAGAGATCACTCTAGAGAAGGAACTTTGGAGGATCTGAACTCCCATATGAAGAGGTATGTGTAGACGCACCCGCGTGGGGCCTCGCTACAGTTCGGACTCGATTTGTGTCACGGTTCTTAATCTAAACCAAAGAGTCCAAATCCGGCAAATCGTTTTGAGAAACAGATATTTTGAAAAGAAGTGCCAAACATGGACTGCTTTGCCAGATACAGAGTCGCCACCTAAATATTTTAAAATGGGGGAATTTAGGAAACCCTTACTCGGTGCCAAAGGCCACGTGTCTTTCATCACCAAAGTTGCCTCGGCTCGGGAACTTGGGTACGATTGGGGAAGGTCAGCTATGAGTACCCCTCTCGCCCGATCCGAAGATCGACCTCTACTAACCGTGATATCCAACTTTGAAAACGTTATGTGTTCTTATTCCAGTTATTTAGCCTAGAATTACTATGTTATGCGCACAGCACACAAGTATAGACCAAATCGCCTAAGTTGGAAATAAGCATTGCATATCCATTTGTCTTGAAAAACACTTTGGAATTTGCTACTCGCAAGTAGGCTAAAATACGGATTTCAACGAGTTTTTCCAACTCAGACAATCCAACCTTCACCCACAGGCATTCAAACAGTTTATCACATAAGCATCTAGCCACATGGTAAGCATGCTGTCATGATAGCATTCACACTCATGCGAGATGCTAAAGCATGAATACTTACATCGTACTCCGTGCCAAAACAATAAACTAGTTAGCCAACATGCATGGTCCTAGTTCATGTTTGAAATGGCTAATGCAACACATGCAAAGATGCAATCCAAACAGGCTCGGCTATCCTAAACATGGCATGTGAAATGCTGCAATTAACACATATTCAACTTGGAATTGAAATACGAGTGCAGTTAGCATGATGTACCGAGCCTAGTGCATGTAAGACAAATGTATGGATGCATGCATACATAGCATAAGGTATGCTAATTTAAATATGCCCTAGTCTACCATCATAAGCAGGTAAGTAAAAGGGAAGAAAGACGTGGGGTTGGAAGACATACACACACTCACCCACACTTATTACATAATTGCCCTCACTCGGAGGGTCCAAATAAATATTACAGTCTGAATAATAAACACATTAATTATTATAGAATTTCCAATTAATTAACAGAATGAATGCAAAAGGAAAGGTGGCCACAGCCCCTGCCTCGGGATGCGCGAATGATGCATGCTCGAACCCGTCTCGCCCGGAAAGTCCGTACCATACCACTGCAGCCTCGGTTTACACTGCCCTGCTTCTCTGAAAATTGCCAAAGTTCTGGGATAGGTCCCCTAAACACTGTGGAACACCATCGGCTAAAGGAAATGTCCACCGGCCATTGAAAATATCCATTGGTTGCTGATGAAGCTACCGGCCCAGGAAGGATTGCCGGTCGGCACTGAATACTGCCGGTCGGCAGAAAGTTCTTGCAGAATCTGGTTTTTGACAGCAACAAGAACAGACAGTGTATGGCATGGAATTTCAAGCAAGTGTATGCATGGCCACTCTCCCAATCATGGAATGGACTCAAGGGAGTATGCCCCTCGACCCTCGAGCCATCAATTACGCATGATGGCCTAAGAGGCCAAGTTTTGCAACTTTGATATCAAATGAAATGCAAGAACAAAACACATCAAAGGGCCCCAACCCCTATCATGATTGATCAAGAGGCAAGGGATGCATGCTCAATGAAATGCAACTTAGGCATGGAGGCTAAGTATGCAACATGAACATGCAAATGAGCAATGTATACTAGGCGCGCAACCTAAACATGTAAGTAAACATGGCATGCAACAACATGCGATGATGGACTTAAACTAACATGGATAGCTCGCAAGCATGCCCAAAATCGGTGGCCATTAGATGAAAATGAGACTCTCGAAACGCGTGCACGCATGCACGCAAACCGAGGACCAAACCTAAGGCATAGTATGAAACTCTAACAAGGCATGGCGAGGCATGAAATATGGAATACAAGCATGTAATTTCAGCACTTAAATGTGATATAAAACAACCCCGAATCACGGAAACATGGCACCCGATGCATGGAACGAGACCCGAAATGCAAAACTAGGCACACGCAATGGCCTACAGCTATACAAAGCATGCATTATTTGATCATGAAACATGAAGACAAATTCAAGGCAGCCCCCAAAAAAGCATGTTTTCAGTTTTAAGCAAGACCAAAAAATGAACACGAATAGGGCTAAACCAATATGCAAAAATGGCCCTAAATGTGAGATAAAGAAGCAAGTCACAGCTGCTGGCCCCAAACAAGAGATGGCCTTTCAACAATGTTGAAGAGGGACCCAAAACATGGAATTTTTCAGTTTATGATCAAACCCAAAACAGTGCACAAGTATGCTCAAAATACTATGCAAAACAAGGCCAAAAAGAGAGCTATAACACAAAGTACAAAAACGATGCCTCAAACAGTAAAAGACCCTCAATGAAACATGAAAAGGGGGTCAAAATAAGGCCATTTATAGTTCGGACCAAAGCTCAAAAACAGAAGCATAAGAGGCTAACAAATCATGCAAAAATGGAGCCAAAAGAGAGATATAAAGGCAAGTGGCAAATGGAAGCCTCAAACAGTGATAAGCCCTTCAACAATGTTGAAGAAGGGCTCAAAATGAGAAACTTTACAGTTTATGACATGCCTCAAAACAATTTATACATAGGCCAAAAATACTACACAAGAAAATGACATACAAGAGAGGCAATGAAGCAAATGCAACAAGGAGGCCTCAAACAGTGGGAGGCCCTTAAACAAACATGAAAAATAGCTCAAAATAAGCCTTGTTCCAGTTAGGGTCGGAGCCCAAATATGCAAGCATGTATGGCTTAGAAAGGATACAAAAATAAGCTTAAAAGAGAGGAAACGTTGCTCACCCTTGAAGACCAAACTTTAGTAGCCTTTTGGCTTAAGAAAAGGTGCCTCCAAAGCTCTGAAAAAGCCCTCCAAGCTGCTGGAATGGAGTGGTGGTGTGGTGCTATAGGGTGTAGTGCAAATGGAGCAAGGATTTTAGGGTTTGGAGGCTTGGATGAGATAGATATGTGGAGGATTGTATGTAATGCTCCAGCTGGTTTTCTAACCTGGTCTAAGGAAGAGGAGAGCTTCCTTTAAAGAGCCAAGAGACTAAAGCTTCCCTTAGAAGCTTCAAACCAAGAGCAAAGATCCTCCATACACGTGTATGGAGGATCCAGTCTGTGCCCTCCAGCTGGCACAACTGGAATCCACTCAATCTGTAGAATACTTCGGAAGGTCGTCGGCCAGCAAAAATGGTCGGTCGGCACAATAAATTGCCGGTCGGATAAATAGATTGCCGACAGATTCTGTCAAGGTCAAAAAATGTCCGGTGGGTGTCCAAATTGAAGCCCCGGAAGTTAGCTTTCCAATGACGCAAACCTTGCATTAAAATTCCTCCTGTGGAAAAAGTTATGCCCATTTTGGTGAAGCCGCGCAGATTCGATCCAACCGGGATGATACCCAACTTCAACCAATCATATCTCCCCCACCTGGACTTGGCTCTAGGAGATTCTTGAGTGAAAAATAAAGCCCCGAAAGTAAGCTTTCCAACGGTGGTGGCCTCATAGCTAAAATCCAAGCATGAAAATGAATAAGCCCTATTCAACGAGGGTTGGTCAACTCTCTCCTACCCGGATTCATGCCGAATTTCTCCCAAACTAGTTTTCTCCTCTCCTTTCCTCTTTTCTTCAACTCCAAACCCCTAAACAAAGTGTTTTGAAAGATTTTTCAAAGATTTCATCTCTCTTTCATTCATCTCCAACTTGTCCTTGCTCAGTTTACCGAAAAGCGCAACGTTTGACAAAATGCGAGCCTCGGAACATCGCAGAAACTTTATTTCAAAAATGTTTTGAAAGAGAGGGTTTTAAGGTCTAAAAACCATTCAAAATAGTTTTGATCCAAAAGGGGTGTGAAGTTGGGATTTGGCTCTCTCCTTGCCGAAGAGATTGAACCTTTGCCCTGCACATCTTTTACCACCAAGTAAACCATCAGTAACGCCCAAGTCTTAAGGGTGGTCAAAAATGGGGTGTCTACAGTATGTGACCACTTTGTTAGAGAAATGAGACAACATGATCATGGATTCATGTGGAAAATGGTTATACACACAATCACGTTGTGTACTAGTATATTCATGTGGAAATTGCAATGTTTTCAAAAATAAAATTAAATCAATGATAAATTTTGTCAAGTTTAATAATTAAAATGATAAACATTTGTATGTATTGATCATGTCTTGCACTTCACACAGTTTCCTATTGATTTAGAGCATTATGATAGGAGAGAGCCACTGAAGAGTGGTCTTGGGAAGGTCAGGATTCTCATTATGAGGCAACACTGACACATGAATAATGGTTATGGCTTGGCAGGGGAAGGAACAACTCTGCATATTAATTTTTTGTGTTATGCAGGTTATTATGTTTTTGTTGAACTCTGATGAGGAGACCACATCCAACAGAAGAATGGCAAAAGACTTGGCTAATAAATGGGTAAAGTTATACATTTTTTGGACTTTTGGCACTCATACATGTATTGATCACTCTTCATGGTTCCGCTTTGTAC